ATCAGTGACGCTGAATAGTCTGAGAGCCTCAGGATGAGTATCCCCAGGTGGAAATAGAGAATAGAGAGAATAATTAGCGTAGCTGCTGTTCAAAGTCTATATAAATGAGATGCAGAAACCTGCGTGGAGCACATTTATGTATCATACCGCTAAGTGATGCATTAAATGTATGCTTTACCAAACAGATAGGTCTTTAATCTAGTTTTGAACTGTGAAAGTGTGTCTGAGCATTGAACATTATCAGGAAGGCTATTCCAGAGTTTAGAAGCCATAAATGAGAAGGCTTGACCTCCTTTACTCGACTTTGCTATTCTAGGTACTACCAGAAGCCCTGAGTTTTGAGGTCCTAAAGAGCGAGTTGGATTGTAGCGAGACAGAAGGTTGATTAGATAAACAGGAGTTAGATTATTTAAAGCTTTATAGGTAAAAAGCAGTATCTTAAATTCAATACGAAACTCAACAGGCAGCCAGTGTAAGGAGGATAAAATTGGGGTGATAGGATCATATTTTATAAACCTGGTAAGAACTCTGACAGCTGCATTTTGTACAAGCTGAAGTTTGTTAATAGAGGACGCTGGGGAGCCAGCAAACAGAGCATTGCAGTAATCCAGCCTAGAAGTCATAAAAGCATGGACTAGCTTTTCTGCATCTGAGATGGATAGCATACTTCGTAATTTAGCAAGGTTTCTCAGATGAAAGAAGGCAGTTTTTGTGACGGGATATATGATTTTCAAAAGTTAAATTGCTGTCCTATATGACACACAAATCCTTTTATAGTAAAGCTAACGCTAACTTTGTATCCCTCTAATGGTATAATTACTGTTTTTACATTACTGTGAGGGGGTTTAGGGTGGGGGTATATGTTAACAAAATACAATTATTGGGTAATTTAATAAATAATTTTTATAATACTTGATATGTTTACTGTTTTTACACTACCATGAACGCTGTATTTAGGGTAGGGGCATACATTAATAAAATACAATTAATGAGTTATTTAATAAATAATATGACTAATAATGGGTATAATTGCTGTTTTTACATTACTGTAAGGGTTGGGGTACATGTTAATAAAATAAAATAAATGGATAATTTATTATAAAATCCTGATTAACTTCCGGACCCAGCTGTATCCTTTTAAGCAACAACCAATATGGTCATTTAAGATCTCTCTCATTTCCAAATAGTAAAAAAATAATTTTTTTACTTTTTTTTTTTTTTTTTTTTTTACCAATAATATTCAATACTATGCATACTTTTTCAGTATTTTCTTTTTGTATGAAATATCCAGCCAAGCAAACTGCATCTGTATACTGGTTTATATATGAAATTTCCCAATCTGAAATTCCATTTTCAGTGTGATGAATAATTATAAATAATATCAGCATGGTTTTTGTTTATTCTTTCGTGTCTTATTATCTGACTTGAATACAGAATCTCTACTTATTTTTTTAGCTAAAGATTCATTTCAATGTGCTCATTTATGGAGGATGATATTAATTTTCTGAATCAAGGTAACATTAAGCATAGGAAGAGGTGCAAATTAATTAAGAATGTTTACTTTTTTGCTTCATAAGTGCACTGCATATGTACAAATCTTTGCTTTCTATAATATGTAATAGAATATGTTAGAGAATCTGCAGGAACAGCTCGAAACATTCAATATAACGACAATTCATTATAATCATGCGTGATCTGTTTTACAGAATGTTTGCTGCTGCGTGTTTTTATTTATGTCTTAATGTTGTAATTCAAACACATGACCCTGAAACTTTATCTGTATATTCTCTTAACTGTATGCCTCTAGTTTCTCTCTCTGTTTCTCACAAGTTCACGTGCGCGCACACACATTTTAGGCGCGGAAAATTAATGAGTTCTCATTCATAACCCAGACAGAGAGAGCTATATTCACCCTCCGATGCTTTATTGACTGATTTCATTTATTTGCAGGAGATGGATTGGGGGTAAGCAGGCGGCCGCGCGCTTTCTCTCGCGCAGTGCATTGTGGAGGGTCAGTGTTCGCCTCTCTCGTCAGCGTGTGACAAATTAGCTAACGAGGAACGGCCTTCGCATTTCCACAAACTAATTAACCCGGCAGGTACTGAGACAAATTATAATATTTATGTAATATCACCGCGCATCTGTTTGCAAGGAGCACATCCGTATACGTATCACCTGATCTCTCTTTTAGACGCGCGCGCTCGCGGATACACGCAGACGAGCTGGAAAACATTTATATATTTGTTATCATCACGATTCCTGATTTTCAAACACCAACATAGCAGGTTAGTTGAGCTCGGGGAGTGTTGATGATAATCTGTAATTTAGACAGCCTCGTTGTTTTGTGTCATTGCATTTAACCTCATTATTTGGGCCACAAGGTATAAATGAAGATTTGACATTTTTTATCTAGACACGAAGTGACCAAATTAATCAGTTAAATTAATGCAGATAATTCCAACATGCATAAAATTGCCTTCATTATATATATTTGTCATATATATATATATATATATATATATATATATATATATATATATATATATATATATATATATATTTGTCATATATATATATATATATATATATATATATATATATATATATATATATATATATATATATATATATATATATATCATACAAAATACTTGCTTACTCCCAGGACCATTTTATATCGAAGTTATATGCAAATATAACAAGTAATAAAAATTAAGGGGTGTTTACTGCATTTATGTTCTACAGAGAATGTTCTGGTATCCACAAAGCACGTTCAGCCTACTTACTCGCTTACTCCCACAGCCATTTTATATTGAAGTTGATATTTAGTCGCACCATGTAAGTGGTTCAACATCTAGTTTTATGAGCTGGGTTGTTAGCTCAATGCTCAACCCCCAACCTGAAGGACCAAGACATACTCACATAGACCACGGACAATTTAGTGCACGCAATTCACCTACAGCACATTGGACTGTGAGGGAAACCGCAGCACCCGGAGGAAACCCACATGAACAAGGGGAGAACATGCAAACTGACCTAATCGGGGCTATAACTGCGCCACTGTTTCGCCTAATATACAAACCAACAATTGTATATATACCTAAATATTGCATATTGTCTTGATATATAGGCTACTGTAATAAAATGCTGGATTCCACATAATTCCCTCAAGTTGCCTTAACCCAAATCGATTAAATTAACTTAATCGTTTTTACAAATTTAAGTTGATTGAACATAAAACAATTAAGTTGCCCCCCCCCCCCCCCCCCCCAAAAAAAAAAAAACTTAAGACAGCTGATTTTAAATAAGTAGTTTAAACTAAAAGTTTTTTTTATAAAACAATATGCAATAGCCATAACACAGCCCGTAGCAAGGGGGAGTTGGAGTGGTTCAAAAAAACACCCCACACTGACAAAGGTCAAGAACTTCTTTCATACATGAGCTTATTTGTCCTATTTTGAATGCTATGCCATCATAAATAGTGAAAATAGACCAATTGGAATCCTCTTGCCTGTCGCTTCACTGTGACTGCAGCTAATCAGTTTTGGTCAGTGCACACAACTCAACATCCAGCTGTGCAAGAAAACATACAATCTGATGAAGTGAAGTCAACTTTCGCTACTGTATTGCTTTTAAATAGAGAAAAGCATTTTACAAGTAACTTTTGTTCTAAATCTTACAACAACAAAAAATACAAATGAAAAGCTGCGAATCACCCGATATTGAAATTAATTTGAATGCTGTTTTGGTATTGCTGTTTTCCATGAATTTTCAAATGTACTTTTTTTTGGTTATGATGACTATCCAACAATCTATTTCAACTAAAATATTGCTTAAAATGTCACGAAAATGAATCATTTAAATCTTATAATTAAATAGTAGCCTAAATAAGTCGTATAACCGCAAAAATGTCCACTTTTTTGAGGAAAATAGAACCACCCCTTTGACCAGGCCTGTAACATAACTTAAAATTACATTATACTGAGCCTACTTAATTATGAAATGTCTTAATTGTGTTGTTCGTTATTGATCTGATTATGTCGTACAGCAGTATACATGATAGTGATTGTATTATGGCAGAAGGTCTAGAAGACGGACAGTGATGGCGCGCTCGCTATATTGTGTTTGGCTGAGTCCTGATTCCTCATCTGTGAGGTCATAATGCCAAGGGCCAAAGAGCCAATCAGAAAGCCAGTTAATGTCAACCTCTGCAACATCTCCAAACGAGAAGGGGGGAAAAAAGCAGTGTTGTGAGAGATAATGACTCGATTTGGTAACGCTTAATAATAATTTCCGATAATAAGCCATTAGGAGACATTGAATAAGGCAGATCAGTCATTCGTGTACATGCCAATATTATTATAAATAAAAAATAAGGTTATTTACTGCATGTATAGTTCCACAATGATCTTTATAGCAGAAAGAGCTCCGTAGGGAAGTCAAATGCTCTAATATTTGAAGAAAAACTGTTTAAATGGCTCTTTTTGTGAAGCAAAAATGATTCTTGTATAAATGGCATCACTGCGCGAATGCACTGTATTGTTTTAAAACGTACGCCTGTTATTGCAATATAATAAAATATTTGTATTATATTAAATGTATTGGTAAAACTATATTGTGATGGTACCTATTGCACATTTTGTTGACTAAAAGTTGCATTGCGACTACATGCCAATTACTTTTCTTTTGAGCATTAGTAGACTTTCTGCTTAATATCTGCTGATACTGCTCCTTCAGCAGACATTTAACTGACTATAAGTACATGTCAACTTACACTAACCCCAACCTGTCTGCTTATAATATAATGAGAATTCGTTGGCATGTAGATGCAATGTAACTTGAATTCAAAAAAATGCGTTAAAGGGACCATCAAAATAATAACCAAATGCATGAAAAGGTTACAAGGTCAAAAACAACCTTTCCAAAAACAAAACAAAATTTTATTTTTTTTTAAAAACAATTAATTTTCCTAAAATCTCACCAAGAACAACAAGCGGTGCGGTGTGTCAATAATGACATATTGAAAATGATTTTATTCGTTAATTTACATTCAATCGTTATAAACATGTTCAGGAAACAAAACAGCCGTTAAGAAGAAGAAGAAGATCAAACATTTAAGAAATTTATATTGGTATAAGCACGTACATTAACTGAGAACATATCACAAACTGACCGAATGGGAACAAGTTAAGAATGCTTTATCTACACAAAACATCCTATATAACAGTATATAACAAATTCATACTTTTCTTTTTAAATGACATTTCCCCCGATGTTGTTGTTGTTGGTGTTGACCTTAGTCGGCACATGCAGTCAAGTTTCTTAATTCTTTTTGGAGATATTTTCCCTCCATCCTTTCTTTCTTTCTTCCATCGTTTCATAAAACAGTCATAAGATGTGAACGACTTCTCCTGTGGTGATAATAATAATAATGCTAAAAACGAGTGCACCTTGTTTCTCTGATCCGCAAACAAATACGTTGCGAATGTGCAAACTTGAATTCTGTCCAGGGTGTTGACATTCGCGCACAAATAAAATTCGAACGAATAAATAAAAACAATAAGTTACCAAATAAATAGGACATAATAAATAAGTAATAAATATTTTTTAATCGAAAAGACATCAGCCTATGATGCTTTAGGTTTTTATTTCCATCATGTGCGCACTGTTCGTATCCTTTAGGCTTCCTCGTGCGTCACTGGGCCAGAAATGATGGGTGGACGAGAAACAGGAGGTGAAACGGCACGTCAAAATATTAGGTGAAGCTCATGGACACTGTGTGCTCGAGCGCTTTGCGGCGCAGGGACGCGATGCTCGTCCCTCTCCAGACGTCCGTGTCCGGGGAGCTACACAGCTGCGGTGAGCCGGTCACATTGGTGGGGCCGGAGAGCGACGCGGGCACCATTCCGGGGAAGGTGGGTTGGTAGAGGTGGGACTGGAGGCCGGAGCCGTTGGAGGACATGTTAGACAGGCTCATGGAGTTGGGAGGCGGTCCGGCGCCCAGGCTGCACTGAGACAGAGACTGTGCCATGGCTTGTTGTCGGCCTAGGGCGGGCGGTAACTGCAGCTGAGAGACTCCCGGCATTCCGGCCGCCGCCCAGCGCGTGTCGTTCGCGTGGAAAGAGCATAGGCTATCGCCCATGGCTGCTGCGGCCGCCGCAGCGGAGGGGAACTGCGGCAGGCCGTGGTGAGTGGGCAACAGAGTGCCCGGAGCGCGGAACACGTTGGTGGTCTTCTTGCGCTTCTTCCATTTGGCGCGTCGGTTCTGAAACCAAACCTGTGAGTGGAGGGAATGAAAATATCTCTCAGAATGTGCTCATAACGCCACAGATATTTTCTTTCTTTTAAAACAGTATGGAAGCACGGTTAAATAAGAAGTAACATGGCCTTTAAGCAATGAGGAATGAGGCGTTTTTATTACTGTTAAGTCTTATGTTCACCAAGCTGAATATGAATTATATTATATATACAAATTATAATATAAATTGTATTATATATTTATTTCATAAATTATACAATTGCTTATTCTAAATTCAGAAACTATTGTAATTTTAAGTACATTATGGAGCCACATTGTTCTAAAATATCTGTTTTGGTTTCTGACTTTAAGATAAAATAATATTTTTATCATGTAAAATATAGATGCACAAAAAAACTACATTTAGCACACAAATACAATCATAATGATATAAATTTTATCTTGGCATATTCGTTTGTATGCTGTTATAATAACGACATAAAAACATGGCAAACAATTATTTATTCTCAATACAATTTTTGTTAGTTTGGCGTTTGCTTATCTCCTTGATAAATGTCTCGACAAGCTAATAATGTTGACATAAATGATATGAAATCATAATATTTAGACTCTCCATTATTATGTGCTCGACTTTACAACGCCGGGGCGTTAAAAGGCCCACCCTGGGCCGTAAATGGCTCACACGGTGTTTATTTCCCGAGGTCCTTCAGGTTTATAGAGATCTCAGGCGCGCTCACAATGATTAACGAGCAGATTTTGACCCAACGAAAAGGGGAGAAAAATGTGAAGAGGTTCATATTAGATCCCCGAATCCCACTCCACGCAGCCAGCCGTGAAATCCGGCCTCAAATGCATTACACTTCAGAGGATAAAAGAAAATGCAATTTCTCATACCATTAAAAAAAGACAGAGCACCATCCGCGCGCTGGCCATTAAGACGTGCACGATGACAGACCTATTTCACGAGAATCGCAAAACATGCACGAGACCAACCTAGAAGATCACCGCGCGGTCATCATGCCACTGATTTATTATTTATGCAAAATAAAATAAGTCTGCATTCGAGCTCAGGCCTGCTAATTATGATGATTATTATTTTACGGAGAACATACTTAATATGCTTGAGCTTAATAAGCCAGCTAAGTTATAAATAATTCTGAAATTGGTTGATAATAATAGTCTCGGTTTTATTGCACTATCAACTCAAAAAGCTATACATATATAATGAGCCTCTGCACATCAGAGAAAGTGAGCGCGCACAGGAATGCCGGGCACGCTCCTTGCATTTATATGGCAGTTTCATTTACCGCTGCATTTGCGACTGACCACCAATCACTGCAGCAGCAGCACGAGTCATAATCTTATAAAAGTAATTATCGGTCTGCTCCGATGGCTGAGCTAACAATAATGGTATTGTAAAAGGAAGATTGCCTGAACAATAAAATAATCACGAGACGCGGCCCGTGCTTTAAATGATTGCACTTTCATAAGCCAAGAAAATGTAACCCGAATAAAGCAGAAATAATTCTAGATATCTGTAATAGCAATACTAATAATTATCATAGCATATTAACTAAAATTAAATAAAAGCTTTATGATTGTGGTTTCTAAAACTGCAGATGTAGTTAACACAATAACAGCAAATACGCGCGATTTGGATGTTCGTTATTTTAAAACAAAACCAATTGTGAATAATGATACGATTTTCCGTCTCATTTGAAAACGGCGAAGCACATGAATGTTTACACTGAATACTATTATAAATCTGACAATTATGACATTTCATCCGATTTGTATAGATTTTTAAATTGTTTTTATTTTTAGAGGTAGCTGGATAAATATGTTCATTATATAATGTTCATTTTTTATTTAATTGTTTAGATTTTTCCTGCAATGTTCTGATAAAGCTCAAAACATCATTTAATTATAATTTTACAAATCTATATATAAAACAGCCTATACATTATTTGGCAGATATTGTTTTTAACAAATGCTCAATCTCGGCACATCACAGCTTAACAGAAATTTGACTGGTCTTTTTTATTTAATTATTACGCAATATAATTTCCAGTTATTTTAAAAAAAAACTATCATCGTTATTTTTTATTAATAAACCAGATAAAAAAAAAACAATAAGATAAATGCTTAGCTAAATTTTCTACAGAATAATATTTGATGCAATTCATTTATAGCCTACAAAATATTAATACTATATTATTTTGCTTTAGATTTATTTGTTTCAAACTAATTGCATATAATCCACTTTTTCTGTTTGTATACTTTTTCGAAACATCATTGACAGTGTAAAAAATAAAGTAAATAATAAACCCCATCCGAAACCTGTGACAATCAGACTGCACCGCACTCACCTGCACGCGTGATTCCGTCAAGCCGATCCGGAGTGCGAGCTCCTCGCGCATGAAGATGTCCGGATAGTGGGTTTTGGCGAAGCTGCGTTCCAGCTCGTTAAGCTGAGCCGGAGTAAAGCGAGTCCGGTGCCGTTTTTGTTTCTGACTCTGCTGGCTGGAGGACTGGGTGGGGTTCTGTTGCTGCTGCTGTTGCTTCTCTTGATCCTTACTGTTGACCGCTACACCCGGCGGATTGGATCCAGCACTGTTGATATCGTCTCCGGGGAGAAGGGTGGCCCCTTCCACCGCATCGGAGACCGGGGCTAGATCTCCGGGGTGGACCGGGTCAGTCCCACCGCCACCCAGCCTGCATTTTAATGCCTCCCTGTGACCCAGAAGCTCGGCCGCGGCATCCTTCATCCCTGAAACACAAAACTGGTCAAACTGAGCGGGCTCAAAAATAACAGCGAGCGTTGCTGCAAATAAGGAAAGAGTTAGTGCAGAACATAACAGCAAGTACAGTTCTCATGCAAAAACTATTTATCTTAACATGCATGCATAAAGTGCAAATAATGCTTAACATGTTAGCTTACAGAAAAAACAACACATGCCATCTTTTAAAGTAGCTAATTCCATCTGATTCCCTTCAATATCTTGAAAAACGACTAAATCAAATTACTGCGTAATATAATAATAATGATTACTTTTCCAATGAATTAGTTCGCTTAAATCGAATTAAGATAAAATAAGAGACAAATTGTCAATTTTCTCTGCTTGATTTAGATGAGAAGAGTCCTCCAGCTTACAGTAGAGTTGCAGACCGGAGTTTGGCGTTGATAACTCACCGAGGCGAGCATCCAGCAGGTCGGCATGCGAAAGCATCGCGCACCGCTCCAGGGCGAAATGCTTTTCCAAAAAAATCTCTATGACTTTAAACTATTTAAAAAATATATATGGCCTAAATGAAAGCAAATTCGGTTTGTGGTTAAAAAGGAGGTTCCTTGCATTATAATGTCCTTTAGAGGAACTGGGAGGCGCTTAATAGTTGAATGAACCCATGAGCTCCTTCAAATAAGAGCCAATCAGCGTTGAAGCCTGGAGGTGTCAGATGCGCGAAGCCTCTCTCGCTGCCCTCCCAAGTTCATTTCTCCTCGTTTTTGATCCCAAATTATAACCTTTAAAATGACCTCTTTCAGAGAAACTCCCTCAAAATTGGTTTAATTGAGCGTGATGCCAGAATCATTGAGGGGCGCCCGATTATTTGAGAATTAAACTATTGTTATATAAACGTGTCGTTCTTATCAAAGCCATATGGTTTAGTAATAGCTTCCCAAACTTTTATTACAGGGCTAAACGATTAAAGCTCGCTCTCGTTATTACACTACGAACTCGTTCATTTGCTACGCGATCAAAAAAAGCACGCAACGCGAGCAGCTTTCTAAATGAAGTAGGCTAATAAAGTTCCGAGATTTTTCCACGTTTGTCACTTAATCGTTAGTGATAATTCCACGTTTCCTCATATAGAAAAAAAAGACCCTCGTGTCATGTGCCATGTCCAGCTCTCGCCATTTGGAGACGAAGTGAACCTCTTCTAATGCTTCTAGTAGTCCGGGGCAGCCAACAACAAAGTTTAGATTAACCATATATCTCAAACCGGGGTAATTTTCAACATCATTAGGCTTTTATGTAATTAGTGCCAAATCTATAAGCTTTTTATTACGATTATTAGCGAGATCAGTATAAATTAGGGCTGATTTAGTAGTGTTTAGGCCTGACTGTCACGGCGGGAGGAACTCGGAGTAAATGATATGTGAGCAAATTAGGTGCATAATTCGGTGGAAAAGTCAGAGTCAGAAATGTGCTTCCAGACACGGGGAAACCCCGACGACAGCAAAGGGGGAGTCGCACCAAAATAGATACATTCAGACTTTAAACAGTCCACACTTGACAAATTGTGTTTGTTGCATTGATTTTTCATCCAATTGGCCCAAATTAACTTGATTTATTTCATGCAAAGAACAGTGAAGCCCACCAATAAACGAACCTGCATTTACACCAATTAACACAATAGCTTTTGTCACACACGGAGCCGGTAAAAAATGTCAGACAACCAGCGCAAACAGGCTCTAAGCAGATGTCAGTGGGATGGTTTAAAGAACTCCTTTATTTGGGAGACTGAATAGTATCTTTTCACTGCGGACAAAGGACGCGTCCGAGCGAGAAAACTTTCGACTTTTTTTTTTTTTTTTTTGGACAAGCCACCAATCTGGTGGAAAGAACAAGAGCTCTCGCCTCCAGACGCCGGGTCAGAAGCGACTCTTGACTCGCCGGGGAGATGTATATGCCTCGCTGAAAATGAGGAAAGGAAGAGAGTGCGGATTCAATTTGGAAACAATTGTTCTTGCGCTGCGTTTTGATATCCGAAATGTCAGAGAAGGCGAACGAGGCACCGGGCGCGTAATGGAAGATCTCGGGTTTGTGTTCATCTCACACTTTCCTTTTGGCCGGGAAATAGACTGTTCTTGTGTACGATGCTTTTTTGAATTGGGATGTGGCTTTATACCAGAGACGTAAATATAAATCGAACACGCTTGTTATTTTACCTTGCTCGAGTTGTAATAATTTTATTCTACATTCTTAAAAATAAAGGTTCCTCCGCGGGGTTTCTATTCAAAGAACTATCTTACACTTCCAACATTCTGTTCTTTGAAGGTTTGGAACGTTTGACGGTCAAATTCGATCAGGGATTCTAAAAGTTCTAAATGGAACCTTTATTTTTAAACAGTGTAAGATTGATGTTTAAGGTGTATCTGTGTAAAGATGCAGGTGCATAAACCAATACTTCTGTTCTCACACGCCTTTCATAGCCAGAAAAAAACAACAAATGCATTGCCTCAACAATAACAATGATTTGAAATCATTACATTGTTTGGTCTGAAACACGGTTACAGCGTGATTGATAGCGCGCTTCATTTTACGACTTTTCAATAGCTCGATCCTTTTATAGCTGTACAAACAGAAGTGAATCACTCTTCTGCAGGCGCACGGTCATATTTAACGGGCTAAAAGTGCGACAGACGCCTAACGATGCTTTCAGGGGACACGTGAATGAATGAATGAAGGCTTGCCCTGCACTTCATAAAATATGAACACATACAGTGTGCAAGCTGTGACCCTCAATTAAAATTCTTACATCGTCTTACTGCTTGGTCTTTTTGTGCCTCGGATCAAGTGTTTTTTCCCCTCTTAATAAATAAATTTAGATTGTTGCACACAAGCGGAGCAAGGGCTGAAAACTGGCTGGCTGAAAAATACATTGGCTTGCTCTAATGCAATTCATTCCGTCTGTTTACCTCGTACAAAACGTACAGATTGAATTTCTGTACACCAATACCCGGCCTGCAGCCAGCAAGGGGATTTCAAGCTTTATTTGTGAAACGCGAAGCGAAGCAAAACATTTTATTAAATGAATTTGAGGGGGATACACAACTGTTTCCTGACCTCACTAGTAATGAAAAAAGGGGAAAAAAAATCTCGAGGTCCTCTGAGCTGAAGGAAAGGTGGTGATCAGAAGTAAAGTTCATCTCTATAGAAACATAAAAGAAGGTAGGCCAATAGTACCACTAATTATTACTACAATAATTTAGCAATACCAAAACTTGTGCGCACGCTATAACCTATATAATAATATTATAATTTCTATATGCTTATTTTAACGAGGTAAAAAGACTAAAATATTCAAATGATAACACAATTCTTATGCCTACCGAACACATTAATACACGTAAATATATACTATTAACCCCTAATAAAAATAACTATAATATATAATGACAAACGAATTGGCCAACAGACCGATTTTTTAACTTCTCGATTTAGTTTAAAATTATTATTAAATGTTATGATTATTTAAACATAAATTATATTAGGCTAAGTAAAAATATATAATATACAATATTTAAAATTAATATAAACATTTATAAGTACTCAACAGTTTAACCAATATACCCATACAATGAAAATAAGTTTCTAGATGTCCATCTGATTTTGTATAAATATGCACAAAACACGATATTACTTTAAATATATAGTACAAAACCATTAATTAAAATACATAAAATATATGATACTCAACAATTAGGCCAACACCCCTAAAATGAAAACTTCTACACGCCCCAAAATAACTATTTACATAAATGTTACCACATGAACGTAGTAATGTGAATATATAATGCATAATCACTAGTAAAATATTTTTAAATGATAAAATCCAATAGTTAGCCAGACAACAACGCCAAAATAATTTTAAATAATTAATAATTATATAACAATAATTGTCTATAAACTAAATATCTGATATGCCGCCCAATAAATAAACAAATGACATTGTAAATTTAAAGACGTTCAAAACATTTCATAAATGTTACGAAGCACTAACTTCGTAAAAATGCATTATTAATATTAATATTTATTATAATTATTATTATTAGTAATATTACTATTAAGGTATGTGGAAATACATTTTAAGCAATACAAAATATAAAATATGAATATAATAAATTAGCAAATTTCGCAAAATAAAGAGTCCTTTGTGTGCTGGGATTGCACTAGTTATGCATCAGAGATACCGTGTCTCTGAGAGAGAGAGAGAGAGAGAGAGAGAGAGAGAGAGAGAGAGAGAGAGAGAGAGAGAGAGTAATTTGGGAGGTGATTCAGAAGCAAAGCAGAGTTGCATCTCTCTCTCTCCCAGCAGATAGCGATAACAAGCTCGCATCAATCTTACACTGCATATAAATAAAAATAGACAAACAAACAAACTCGCGCCCTGCAAGTTAATGCGGCGCATCTGAGTGGAAAGTAGACATTTTCACGCGCTCTGGAGATGAGGAGTGACTTTTAATAAAATCACAAGAAAAACAAATGTAATTCTGAACGCGGTCTGGAGCTGAGAGATTTCAGTTCCCTCACTCCTCATTGTGCGAGGCTTTTGTTTGACTGTCACCATCTCATGGCCTTTATATATCCAGCATCACATCTGTCCCACAGACACACACACACATCATCATCATGCAGAAGTTCTCCTCATCACAAACACGCACAGAATTACAATCACTAACACTAATCAACCGCGCAAAAAGGAAAATAAACTAGATATTTTCATGGATTATGCGACGAATACTGAAATAATTCACGTTATTTATGATAACTAAAATAAAATAACCTTAAAAGCACTAGAAGCCAAATCAACCTTTTGTGTGGCGTAAGAAAGTTATGCGCATTTTCCCTTTAAAAAGGTTTTGCCAGACTTATATGCAGCTTCCGAATACATAGCTCTTTTTCTTTCAAAGAAGGGCGCAATCTGAAATGTGGTATGAAAAAAGTACCTGTACAATAGTATTCTTACGACGTATAATTATAAAATTGTCTGAAATAAATAAATAAAACATATACATTACGAAGCCAAAAAAACTAATAAATAGAAATACATTATGTAGCCTTTCTATCAATCACTTTCCCCAAAGCTACTGAGGCTAAACTTTCTTTGACTCTAATTATTAAATTAGAAAATACAAAGAAATTTAGCCTATTTAGTCATAAAATATATTGTTTTATTATTAATAATAATAGGCGGTTCATTCCAGTGTGGTGACCCCAGATTAATAAAGGGACTATAAGCCGAAAATAAAGTGAATGAATAAATTAATAATAATAATAATAATACTATACCACGACTACTACTACTACTACTACTACTAATTATACTATATTAATATTAATAATATAATAATTCCAATAATGCAATCAAAACAATAATTGTCTAATAAAAAATAAAGGAGTCAACTATAAATGCAAACCAAAACATTTAACCACCATTATCGCATAACTACTATGATACATTTTTTATAATTCATATTATTGCATAATATTCGTAATAGTGATAATAATCACCATAGTAAATGTAAAATGCAAAAAAATCATGAAACACAATAAACATACATAATAAAAATATATTAAACAATTAGAATAAACAAAATAATTGACTTTATTAATCATATCGGATATTCCATTGCATTGAATGCTATACGTTAAAAAAGAATATTTGGTGTAATTAAGCCATATAAATAAATTGACTAATGACATCGACTATGATATCATACATTAGGCTATTTTACGTTAGAAAAAGGCTGTTTGGTGTAATTTAGCCAAATAAATAAATTCACTATCGCTGTGTAATCATGTTTTATAATATTTTACCTTCAAAAATTATGTTTGGTGTAATTTAGCCAAATAAATAAATTGACTATCAGTGATATAGGCTATTGTTTTTATGCATTGTTGGCTACTTTACTTCCAAAAAAAAAAAAAAAAAAACATGTTTGGTGTAAATTAGCCAAATAAATAAATTGACTATTAATTATATCGGCTATTTAATCATGCATTATAGGCTATTTTACCCTCAAATAAGGATTTTTTGGAGTGACTGAGCCAAATAAATAAATGGACCATTAATTATATCAGCTATTTAATCATGCATTGTAGGCTATTTTACCTTCAAATAAGGATGTTTGGTGTAATTTAGCCAAACAAAAAAAATACTATATCGGCTATTATTATCATGCATTATACGCTACTTTACTTTTAATAAAGAATGTTTAGTGTAATTTAGCGAAATACATTAATTGACTATTAATTATATCGGCAATTACAATAATGTATTGTAGGCTACTTAGTTCAAAAAACGGTTTGGTGTAATTTAGCCAACTTGGTACAGATTTTACTCCAATTGACGCAAAAATACACTTTAATCTATCATAGAGAGGAACAGTTTCTTGTTATACTGATCCATTTCAGTATTAAAAATAAGCTACTTAACATCAGTGTCATGCCGTACCTGTGAGGACTTTCCATTCACGCAAAATAGACAATAAAACTACTCCACACCCTTATATAAACGCAGCATAAAGGCCAGTTTCTCCGCGCATGCAGGAATGTGATTCACGGGGCGTCTATATTCACTCAATTAGAGAATTCTAAAGAGAAAATCGATCGTCCATCTGCAGAAATGCCAGTTTAACAAATTAGATTCTTGTTTCGCGCAGGTGATGCGGTGACAGTCGGGGGGATTAAAGGTAATAAGTTGTTGTGTTTTAGCTGGAGGAGGAGGAGGAGGTGATGAAGAACACACTCCTCCTCCATCTCCATCAGGTGCTCGGTTCCTCCGGGCGCGCGCTATACCTGAATCTGCTCGCGCGCCGCCGCATCTCATGCTCCAATTAGAGGCGCTGCCCTCCGAACGGACTCGATTAGACCGTGATTTATCCGAAAGAAATATAATTATGGCTCCAAATAAAATAATCAGCATTGAAGAGCGATTTCCTTAACGAGATGGAGCGGTTGGGTGTCACGGAGTGGCGGCGCCTCATTAGCGCTATAATGAGGCTTCGGGGTGAACCCGATAATTATCGAAATCTGTAGAATGAAGACCAAGCCAAATGGAACCCGAATTCATCTGCTGCTTTGGCTTTCAGATGTAAAAAAAACCTCAAACACATTTTAAAACACACCGAATTAGACTGAACTATATGGCTTTAAGAGGAAACGTGACTGTGGGATGGACCCGACATAAATCTATTTGATTATATGTTTGCCAGCGAGGAAACAGCCCTGATAAAAACAGGAGGACAACATTAAAACAACGACTTATCATAATTGTGCAGTATTACTGGGAAATGGGGGGTAATAGATATTTGTTTTAGGCCATAAAAAAATGAGGACATGAGATTCCTCTAATGCCAACACTGAAGAAATCTTTGGGGTAGAATCTAAAATATACACGGCTAGGTCTATTTTATCAGTGATATAAATGTATTGTAGCTGTTAATAAACATTTTCAATATGCTTAGTTATTGCAGAGCCGAACGCATGGCCGACAAAAAATCTTTTCATTATAAGGGCTAAAATGCAAAAATCAGTTCAACCACACCCAAATAAAGTCCCACCAACTTGCATCAGTCAAACTAACTAAAAATAAGTAAAACATTTTTAAAAGGTTATAAAATATCAATAAAATAAATATTAATAAATTAAGTTAAAAACATATTTAAATCATAAGTACGCAACAAAAATGGCAGAATTTTTAGTTGAATAAAGTGATCTTTGCTAGTCATCCCAACTTGCATCAGGCAAACTGAATAAAAATAAGTAAAAAAAAAAATTCACAGAATATAAAATATCTTATAAAATATTAATACATTAAAACAAAAACAAAATAAAGCATATTTTTCAACAAAAATGCTACAAAAAAGGCTGAATTAATTAAAGTTGAATTTAGTGAATTCTGCTAGTCACCCCAACTAGCATCAGTCAAACTGACTAAAATTAGTAAAAAAAAAATCTTATAAAATATCAATAAATTAAAACAAAGTTCATATTTGTAAATCAAAAACACACTACAAAATGGCTGGATTTTTAGTTTAGTTAGCTGAACTTTGCTAGTCATCCCAACTTGCATCAGTCAAGCAGACCAAAAATAAGTAAAATTTGAAAAGAAAAAATTATATATATAAAATAAATATTAATAAATTAAAATAAAAAGTCATTCCAACTTCAATCAAATCAAACTGACTAAAAATAAGTATAAAAAACAACAACAAAAACAAAAAAACTAATTTTATAAAATAAATATCAATAAATTAAAATATGAGGCATATTTTAAATAAAAAAGGACACTACAAAACTGTCTGGAATTTTAGTTGAATTAACTGAACTTCACTATAGTCATTCCAACTTGCATCACTCAAACTGACTAAAAAGAAGTAAAAATACAAAACATTAAATATCTTATAAAATATATTTTAATAAATTAAAATAAAAACAAAACATAAAGCATATTTCTAAATCAAAAGCCTGCTAAAAATGGTTTTAGTTGAAAAAAGGAACCTTTCCAAATTGCATCAGTAAAACTGACTTAAAATAAGCAAAACATTACAAAAATAAAAAATCGTAAAAAATAATTATTAATACATTAAAACAAAACAAAATATAAAGCATAGTTTAAAGCAAAAATGCACTATAAAAATATATTTTTTACTTTTAGTTGAATAAACTAAACTTTGTTAGTCACCCCAACTTGCATCACTCAAACTGACTAAAATTAAGTTTAAAAAAAAATGTATCCAAAGCCTGATTAAATATAAATTAGCATAAAAAGAGACGTTTTTATATTGTCATACGTCAATAAAATAACATTAACCAAAATTTCAAATTCTGAAATATTTCTGGTCATTACTTATATTTATTGTGCATCATTTTAGTCTATAGCAGCATTTATCCATATTTGGCAACCACAAAGTGTCTCAATCTTTCTGCCAACATCAGTGCATTAATGATGCACTACATAAATATTTGACAAATCTATGCTGTACATATAAGATTAATAAAAGGATTGTCCAATAACTATGGACAAAACCCCCAAAAGCTTTTTAAAACGCAATATAAAAACCACTGCAAATAAAATCTCAGCATTTACCTTGACATTATCTAAAAAAACTTGATGCAATCGCCAAAAAGGCCTGTCATTACTAAATATTCCCAGCTAACACACACAAAACAAAACATATGATTAAGTTGCATTGCATGAATATATAAATGCTTAATGCACTGCACTGAATGCTCCTCCAGCGCTTGCATGAGAGAATGTGGCCAGCGGAGGTCAGTGTCCTTCAGGAGAGCTGGAAATACATTCTCATCATTTATTAGTTTTCATGCTATACCTGTCTCTCTCTCCCTCTCTCTCTCTCTGTCTGTCTGAATGCAAGAAAGCAAAGGCTGTCTGTGTGACTGACGTCCAGCTTCACTCACTACATTAGCTATACTGCAGCCCTAGAAGAAAAGAAATATGCAGCAGCTTATAACTCAGAGTATCACATATTTAAACATGCAAGCCTGAATAAGAAGTAAATGTAAAATGCTTACTTGAAATAAAAATAAGTCACAATATTCCTGTTTCTTGCAAGTGAGGCTCAAATCTAGAAAGGTAAAACATTTAGCTGAAATAGAATCTATAAATCATAACAAATCAAACGAAAAGGTTTATTTATACAGTGCAAGTCAAAAGTATTAGCCGCCACCCCCCCACCCCTGTAAATTTCTAATTCTTTTAAAAAATATTTCCCAAGTGATGTTTAGTGAAGAGATGTTTTTAAACTCATTTTTAAACATATGAATTTTAATGATTGCATATTTACAGTGCACAGCATAATTGAGTACACCCCATTTTGAAAATGAAAATTTGTATTCATTTCTCAGTGAATATAGGTCATGTATTTTTGGTGTATTTAAAAAAAATGATTTATTAAACAAATATATTCATTAAAATAATATTTTTGTCATCAAACATATTACAAAATTGAAAGGTAATACAATTAAATTCAAGATAAATATTGCAAAATTAAAACCTACAAAAATTTCAATGTTTTTGCATCTCTTAGTTTAAATTTTTTTTAAATGTGTATATAATATTTTCATATACATAAAACAAATCAACATACTATTTTTTGGAACACTATCGTACATTTTTTTTTGTTAGATTAGCTCCAGATTTGGCTTCAGTACTGACTAATCTAATGTACAGTTGAAGTCAGAATTATCAGCCCCCTTTTGATTTTTTTATTCTTTTTTAAATATTTCCCAAATATTTAAAAAAGCAAGGAAATCTTCACAGTATGTCTGATAATATTTTTTCTTCTTGAAGAAGTCTTATTTGTTTTATTTCGACTAGAATAAAAGCAGTTTTGAATTTTTAAAAAACTATTTCTGGGACAAAATTATTAGCCCCTTCAAGCTAATTTTTTTTTGATAGTCTACAGAACAAACCATTGTTATACAATAACTTGAATAATTACCCTAACCTGCCCAGTTCACCTTATTAACCTAGTTAAGCCTTTAAATGTCACTTTAAGCTGTATAGAAGTGTCTTGAAAATTATCAAGTAAAATATTATTTACTGTCATCATGGCAAAGATAAAATTATTTAAAATTATTAAGTTATTAGAAATAGTTTTTTAAAACTATTATGCTTAGAAATGTGTTGAAACAATCTTCCCTCTATTAAACAGAAATTGGGGAAAAAATAAACAGGGGTGATAATTATTCAGGGGGGCTAATAATTCTGACTTCAACTGTATGCACAAATATAATAGTGTACAGCTTCCCATTAAAATATGGTATGACTTAACTATGGCTTCTCTTAATTTATTTTGTTTTTTTGTGCTCAAATGGATTCGTGTACTAAAACGTAGTAAGTTCACAGTACTCAATAGGATTAGTTTTTGAACTTAAATGGTTGGTTGCACTCAATTTCATCAAATGGTTTCAGTTACCTTAACTTTTTGGGTTTTACAGTACTCAATTAGTATGAGTTCTCTTTATTTGTTGTGTTTTACTGTGCTTAAATTGCTTTGTTTAATCAAATGGATTAAGTTCACAGCACTCATCAGAATAAGTTTATGAACTTAAATAGTTTGTTGCAATCAGTTCCCTCAAATGGTTTGAGTTACCTTAATAGGTTTTACTGAATCGGTATGAGTTCTCTTAGTTTACTGAGTTTGGCTCAAATGGTTTCGTGTACTAAAATGGATTAGGTTCACAGTACTCATCAGAATTAGGTTTTGAACTTAAATGGTTTGTTGTTAACTTACTGGGTTTTACAGTGTAACATTACTTTGTGTGTTTTAATTCAGCCCACATAATTTGTTTGCAACTAGTTTCTTTAAAATTGAGTAAATCCAATGATATTTTTTATTTTTTTATTTTTAGATTAGGCAAGTTAGGATAATTAGGCAAAGCACTGGACAATAGTGGTTTGTTCTTTAGCTATAAAAAATTTATTAAATAAAGTTAAATAATAAAAAGGAGATTAAAATTAACCTTAAAATTAAAATAAAAACTGCTATTTTAATTCAGCAGCCAAACTAAAAGAAATGAGACTTTGTCCAGAGGAAAGAATATTACATGAAATATTGAAAACTTGCTCTGTCTGATCACTTGGAAAATAATTGAAAAAATAAATTTCTCAGTAGGGGTAATAATTTTGCCTTTAATTATAAATATATATAAACTAATACTAAGATTCTTGAAGATTGTTCTATACACCAGTAAAAAAACATTAGGGTTTGATCTAGCAAAAAGAAACTTTATTTCATGTTTGTGTAGATTTGATCACAGAAGGCTTTGGAGAAGACAGTGTTATTAAATCATGAGTCAATACAAAAACCTATGAAATGCGAACATAAGGAATCGGTAAACACAGCCTTGCAGCTGAAATGCTAAGCAAGTCAGAAGGAATGCAATGGACACTCGGGGATGTCAGTGTGTTTGTGAGCATCAGTGGGTGTTTGTGTGATCGTGTCCATCATCCTTCCAGCTTGACTGAATCTAAAACAGTCCTGGCCTCCTTGTATTCTTCTGCTTCAGCCAGCTCTTCTTCTGTCTCCTGCAAATAAAAGCACTTAAAAGTCATGGTCTGAATCTTCATTATTCAGTCAAAAATCTGTACATGATTTTCATATTCTGGCTCTGTTTGGACTCTAGTCATATATATAAATATAAAAAAGTATATATACATACATATATATATATATATATATATATATATATATATAAAAAGTAAATAAAAATTATAACAAATAAATTGTACAAAATTTCTATATAAAAAATTATAATAAAACATAAATTTTTTTACATTTAGCAGACGCTTTTTGTTTAAAGCGACTTACAATTGGTGAGGTATTCAGGAATTCAACAGGAAAAGGCCGTACATACAAGAAGTGCTAATTATAGAGTGAAACTGTTAGTTTTTAGAGAATTAAGTTCAAAAGTAAAGAGGGGAGTTGGGGCTGTATGTTATTAGAAAAATCTGGCATTGGGAAATTTTATTGTTCTTCAATACAGATTGCTATATGAATGGAATTTCAACAGACGGCTTGAACAGCTCTATTATAAATTAAATCATTAATTAAGAGTGGCATAATTTGTAGCGGAGTGTTTCAAACAAATTGCAGCAAAAATAAGGAAGAGCAAAGATAAAAGTGTAATGAGCAACCCTTTATGGTTTTCTGCAGACTTAAACAGTAGTCATATTTTTAGGTACAGTAACTGAATTATCAAATGTATTGCTTTTTTTTAGAGATGTAGTGATTGTAAGCAAGCGTCTCGTGCAAATGTGCAAAAACTGGTGTAAGTGTCAGTTGAAGTGCCAGAGATGAATGAGCACGCTTTCTACAGGTGGTTTGTCAAGCCCACTCACCTCTGAGGCAGACTCAGAACTGATAATGTTTTGAGGTTGTCATGTGTTGTGGTGGCGGGAGATAGAAGAGGGGGTCCTGGTTTTGTTTTCATCTATATAGTTTCTTCTTACCATGCACATCTAGTCTTATGAAAAAAGACAGTATAATGTTTAAAATGAAAAGAACAATTCAATATTATCTTTAAGAAATGATATCTGACCGTTCTAGGGCTGCACAATACTGGAAAAATATGCAATGTTGTTGAGTACTGCAATAATTTGTTTTAATGATATAACATTTGCCTTAAAAGAATTGTTATTTTTATTAGCAGTTTTAAATAATTTATTTCAGGATATTAAAATAAACATATTTTTCAGATCTAATTTAATCTAACTCAAACTGAAAAAACTGTGTCGAGGTGCAAACATTTAACCTTTAAACCCTTACACTCAGCAGATATTCTGACTCTGATCTGAAGTATTTATTTTTCAACCAATAGCATAAATAGCAAGGCTGCATCTGATACGTCAAATTTTGATAAACAATCAATACATAAAATAAATCACGTCTGTGATACATACACTCACCGGCCACTTTATTAGGTACACCTTACCAGTATCGGGTTGGACCCCCTTTGCGGATTTAACCAATAAGCGAGGTAAGCGGGTGCTTAGGGCCCCAGGAAATCTGGGGGCCACAAATAAATGTCTAGAAACATAAATTACACCTATAAACTATATATAACATCATTTTATATCATATTTTGTATAGTGACAGAATTGTTTACATAATTAAATATTATTTAATATAATATAATATTATTATGGAAACTGGGAAGCCTCGGGATCCTGCCGGAGAAGCTGGAGGAAGTGTCTGGGCAGAGGGAAGTCTGGGGGTCTCTCCTAAGACTGCTGCCCCCGCGACCCAGCCCCAGAAAAACGGTAGAAAATTAATGAATATTGTTATAATAGTGTAATGTTATGTAATAATAATGTTATAAAATAAAATATCCACCACCCCAATCATGGAGCAGTCCAGCAGTCAAATTTATAAATTAATAAATATATATTTACCTTTTTATTGTAAATTCATTTTAAGAAAACTAATCATTCAAAATGTAAAGACTGCATTAAGATAAAACATAGAAAAGATGATTGAGTAATATAAAACAATAAAAGTAGAAAGGGTGCATTAAGACTTGGGTCCCATGGCTGGAGTTGCCTAGGGTCCCAATTCACTAAATCCACCCGTGTTAAAAACTGCCTTAATCCTTTGTGGCATACAGTAGATCCAACAAGGTACTATAAATATTCTTCAGAGATGTTGGTCCATATTGACATGATAGCATCACGCAGTTGCTGCAGATTTGTCGGCTGCACATCCATGATGTTTCACCACATCCCAAAGGTGCTCCCATTTGAGTACAGTAAGCTCATTGTCATGTTTAAGAAACCAGTCTGAGATGATTTACGCTTTATGACATGGCGCGTTATCCTGCTGGAAGTTGCCATTAGAAGAAGGGTACAGTGTGGTCGTAAAGGGATGGACATGGTCAGCAACAATACTCAGGTAGGCTTTGGCGTTGACACAAAGCTGATTTGGTACTAATGGGCCCAAAGTGTGCCATGAAAACATCCCCCACACCAGGATGGATTCATGCTTTCATGTTGTTGACGCCAAATTCTGACCCTACCATCCGAATGTAGGAGCAGAAATAGACTCATCAGACCAGGCAACGTTTTTCCAATCTTCTGTTGTCCAATTTTGTTGAGCCTGTGTGAATTGTAGCCTCGGCTTCCTGTTCTTAGCTGACAGGAGTGGCACCCGATGTGGTCTTTTGCTACTGTAGCCCATCTGCCTCAAGGTTGGACGTGTTGTGTGTTTAGAGATGCTCTTCTGCATACCTCGGTTGTAGTGAGTGCTTATTTGAGTTACTGTTGCCTTTCTATCAGCTCCAACAAATCTGGCCATTTTCCTCTGCCCTCTGGCATCAACAAGGCATTTGCGCCCACAGAACTGCCGCTCACTGGATACTTTCTCTTTTTCAGACCATTCTCTGTAAACCCTGGAGATGGTTGTGCCCGAAAATCCCAGTAGATCAGCAGTTTCTAAAAAACTTGGACCAGCCTATCTGGCACCAACAACCATGCCACGTTCAAAGTCACTTAAATCAGCTTTCTTCCTAATTCTGATGCTCGGTTTGAACTGCAGCAGATCATATTGAACATGTATACATGCCTAAATGCATTGAGTTGCTGCCATGTGATTTGCTGATTAGAAATGTGCGTTAATAAGCAGTTGGACAGGTGTACCTAATAAAGTGGCCGGTAAGTGAATATTGCATCTACTATTATTGCGGTATTAAAACTTTTGCAATATATTTTGCAGCCCTAGATTGTATCATTGTGTGAAATTTATTTGATCATACAGTAAAATTAAATAATAAACATTTGTGCTAATTAACAAGATGAATAATTAAATTCATTAAATCACAATCAGAATAATTAATCAGGACCCACCCTCATATTTCATGACACACCACATCACTTCAGTCGAAAATAACTAAAGTCACATGTATTTTACACCGATTTTAAGGCTTTAAATGCCACAAATACAAAGCTGAAGTGGACTATAGGCAGAACGAGTGGGAGTTTTCCATCCAGTGTGAGTTACTAAATCAGATCACAGTAACACAATGAGAGAGACTAACTACATCACCAAAAACAGCTAATCCACTCAGTGAAGCTGTCAGATAATCACACACACAAGCGCCTCAGACAAACACACACACTCGTAACACAGTGTGAAAATGTAATGGAGGCAGTGAGAAGAGTAGGTCATATCAATGCTAATCGATCGACGATGGTTTCTATGGAGGCCATTGCCGTGACAACATTACTAATGAACTGAAATGAGTGCAGCACAGGTGTGTCTGTGTGTGTGGCTTCATTCTGCTAGTGCACCAGTAAATTTTACACAGGCACAAAAAAAGAGAAACACAAACAGCAGATTTAGCATTAAGCCTTTAAAATGCACCCGTGCCAGCACAGTTTTTATTTTATCTCTCCACTTTCCTCTTCTTTAATGTGATCCCTGTTATACTCTACTTGCTGTTAATGTTAACAAACAGGAAGATGGTACAGCATTCATTGTACAGACAGACATATGGCACTCTATTTTAACGATCTAGGCGCAAAGTCCAAAGCGCAAACACTTTAAGGACGCAAAAATCTGCTTTGCACTGGAGCGCCTGGTCTAACAGGGTTGAGCTTATTCTCTTAATGAGTTATAGGTGTGTTTTGAGACACCATCAGACAGAGGCCCCGTTTACACTAATGCGTTTTAGTTTGAAAACGCATAAGTTTTGCTACGGTTACGCCATCCGTCCACACTACGCCGGAGTTCTCGAGCGCCGAAAACGGAGCGTTTCGAAAACGCTGGAGAGGCCGTTTTCATTCTAAAACGCTGGAGCTCCGTCTCAGTGTGGATGGGGAAAGACGGAGATATCTGAAAACGGAGGCGGGGCTGCAGACATTCGCCTCTCTGATTGGGGCTTTTCCTCAATATTAAGTAGCCTAACACACAGTTCAGTCCTGAATCTTCTCCGTGTAAGTTCAGACTTCGCAAGTTTGATCAAGGCTGCATCTCTTCTTCTCAGTTTGATATGGAAAACATACCGAGGACACGCGTCAATCTTCACAGGGAACAGTGTACTTTATAACTTCATTCACATCACCTTGGCTACGTTGTTTCACTTTCTCAACAATAAAATGTAAACTTGATATAAGGAACTGCCTATTTTTATTTTAATATTAACAACTAAACAGACAGCAGAAATGTTGAGGCGTCGTGCTGCATGAGAGTCATCTTCACTGTGTGCATATTTATAACAAAACGGAGCCGATAACAACTGCCTCCTTTCAATTTCAGTGAAAATACGAAACACACCCTCTCTTTTGCTGAATATCAGTTTTAATAATCGATAATGGCCATTATAAAAGTATAACATACAATAAGTTTATACATTATAGGAAATAAAGGCAAGCGATCAGTCAATATACAGAATGTAGGCTACGTGCTTGCATTAATCATTAACTTATCTTTGCGCTCAGCCAAAACACGTTACCTGAGAACAAGTAATAGATTCCAGTGACCAAAGTCAGGGAATATGTCGTTAGATAAAGACAACAAGATGAATGAAATATCACGTTTAATAAATATAGTGAGATTAGATCCAGCGGGAGATGCTTGATGAGAAGTCCGACTAGCAGAGCTCTCATCTGGGTAGATGGGCTCCAGCGATTGCCAAAGTGTGTGTGTGTGGTCACGTGATGTGCGTTTTCAGCGTTTTGGTGTGGACGGAGAGCTGTTCAGAAACGCTGGGTAAAACGCGAGTGTGGACGCGGATCGTTTTCATTCTAAAACGCCGTTTTAAAACTAATACGCACTAGTGTAAACGGGGCCAGAGTCTCATCTTCCATTCCCTTTAAAAGTCAGTTGTGTCACGCCATGACGCATTTGCTATTTACATGACGGACTATGTAAGTGGAAAAACTGAACACTTTGCTAGCGAGAACACAGTTAAACAGAGCATCTACATTCTTTCACTTTCTTTCGTGGATAAGGTGTTGTACGCACAGACATCCATTAGCCTACATAAGTAATTTCGTTTGTTAAGCAAAAAGATTTGTTTCGTAACTATTTCTAAATTCTGTTCTAATTGACAGCAAATAAATAAATAAACAATAATAATAACGAAGTGTGTTCAAAAAACTAGTTATATCTAAACGAGTTATATCTAAACACGCATGCTATGCGACATATGGTCTAAAACCCGACAGGTGGACAAATCTTAGTTTGTTTTTAATAAAACAAATGTAAATATGCCTATAATAAATAATACTACTATTATATAATAACATTATACAAAAGCAAATTGTCATGAATAAACTGAAAAAGCCCCCGATATAAAGATGAAAGCAGTGGTTTTTATAACTATGTAGAAAATAATAATTTTTGTAACATTTAATCCTTTAATTCTTTTTCATTTGTAAAGATATTTGCGTATTGCTGTACATCCTGTGTGTATTAAGCAGTGTGTAAGCGAGGCGCACAACTAACGTGATCTGCGCTGGACTTTAGACCTGCTCTCAGCTGGTCTATAGTACAGTCTATTTCTAGTTCCTCAAAATAGCAATGTGCCAGCAATGCGCCTAAACACACCTCCTTTTTTAGACCAGAACGCATATGAGCAGTGTAAACAGCATGCTGCAAAACGCCAAAAAGAAAGAACCTTTTTGTTTTCACTTGTGTGTTTTTTCACAAGATGTGTGAAATAAGCAGCGTTTCCATCCAACGAGTCAAAGCGTACAAAATTGTCACTTCCTGATTAACTGGCGCCAAATATCATTATAAATAATAAAATATAAATACCCCGGAAGATGTAAAACAGTAACAATGGCCAGGTCAATTTACAAACAAACAGATCAATTTAATAATAGTGTGTGTGAGTGTGTTTGTGTGTGTGTGTGTGTGTGTGTGTGTGTGTGTGTGTGTGTGTGTGTGTGTTTTCGATATTCTCACCAATAGTTGCTGCAGGTCAGCGTGAGCCATTGCTAAACGACGATGACAGTCGGGAATCATCATTCTGGACTCCTGCAGCACCTCCATCTGTTAAAGAGACATTTCAGAGAGATTAATAAAAAAAAAAAGTATTTGTCTTGCGTCATTTGTCTCTTTTGCGCTACTGTATATTGCGATAGGTTTCTATGGCGAGGGAGGGGATTTCTTTATTGAATTTTTTTGCTGTTTTTAATTGTTTAAGTTAATTTGATTGCTATATAAAAATCTGTGGATCTTATTGTTGCATTTATTGGGTAAAATGCTACTTTTGAACGTCTTTCAATGTGTTTCTAGTCATTATCTATGCACTGTCAGTTTAATTGAGCGAAAGCAGAACGGCAAAAATAGACATAGCGCCGAAACTATCGCAGCACTGCTGCTTAAGTAACACTCATGCCTTGTGCCGACATGCTGCTTCTGCGTGTAGTATAAAAGCTCTAATCTGTTAAGATGGACGGCGGGAAAAAAAGCTCTGCTCACGCTTGTGGTGTGAAACAGGCTTCACACCTACAGCAGAAGCCCCCATTTCACTGCTACGGAGATAATGAAAGTTAACTCCATTTAACTCCATGTGGACGTTTGACCTACTGGCATGAGGTGACTTTTCCTCTCCTCTCGGCTGTTACACCAATACAGTCAATCATTCTCCATTCATTCACAATTTAAACTGCGTGTTGCATTCATGACAACTCGAAAAACTTTCTTCAAGACTATTTGTTCCTTTTAGTTTAAATAATCAGTGGAGAAATGCATTTAGTTTTGCTTTAAATGGGTTCATTTTGACCTGCAACAAGGAATTTATTGCGGTTTCTAAATCCTGTTGCGCTGTGTCTGTTAGATCAGCAGATTGCATTTGCAAAACTGGAGTAGAGAGGGTTATTACCTGCACTTCACACACAAAGTAGGCTAACCTGAAATTTTGAATTAGAAAAGGCTCAAAAATACATTGGACAGAACCTCAACGCACTGATTTATTCCCTTTGTGATGCTGTTTAGGATGGGTCCACAGATCCCGGAGAGATGTGCGTGATGTGTCTCAGCGCTTCAGTCCTGCACCAGCTGCGCAGATGTGACATGCACCGTTCTGTAAAATTATTCTCACAATAAGTTTCTGTTCTCTCATCCTTCCGACTAAGTTTATTCGTCCGAGGGGAATATGTTAAATGTTGTTTAATAAGTGTCGCTAATAGATTGTAAAGCCTGGCTCATTGTGTTCAAAGTAGTTGATCAAATGAATAAAAGTGAAACTGATGGCCGCTATATGGATTGTCATTAACAACATTATTTGGCCTAATATAGGCTACTCTGAAACTTTGAATATTTCACTGTCATTTTATTTATATTAATATTTTATTTAACAGATCTGTTTGTCAGTTTGTGCACTGAAGCATATAAGCGGACCTTGTTTTGAACTTTACATCAAATATTCTTGATCATTTTTTTTTTATAACTGACCAACAAAAAATACATTAAAACCAACAAATTATAACAAAAGAAATTAGTTTCAAAAAGATAACTTTTCAGACAAAAAATAGCTTTTAGACCTGCTTTCAGTTTCAGCGAGTTGTGGCAAGGGAATGCTTATTAAGTAAAACTGGCCTTAGTTTAGTCTGCTTCAAACTTGCAGGAAAATATCAGGTTTTGCTAAAAGGCCGTTTATTTTATCAACAATCAGGGTCAATAGTGGAAGCCTATTGCAGATTTCAACAAAAAATCTTAATATTAAAAAAGAAAACATAAGCCAGACCACAACAGTTTAATGTCAAAAGTAATGCTCAAATTAAAGTAGCCAATAGTTTATAGCAAGTGTCATGTTTTTAGTTAGATTATGCCGTCTATCATATACAGTAGGCCTAAAGGTCTGTTATTTTTTTTTTACTAAAGAAGACATATCCTTTGAGTATCACAAAAAAAAAAAAAAAAAAAAAAAAAAAAAAAACAGCACAATATCGGGATTTTGATATTGGGATCGGATCCAAAAAAATGCTATCGGTGCATCCCTATTTTTGAAGAAAATACATCTTTCGTTTACCTAACTATTTTACAGATTTATCAAAGTTTTAACTTTTTTTATTATATAATTGTTCAATATTCATGCATTAAATATTGTTTTGCTAATACTGTGCAAGTCATGCTAATAAAGCTCATTTGAATTGAATTGAGAGAGAGATAATGAAAGAGAGAGAGAGAGAGAGCACATGGGCCACTACTCCTGGAGAACCTCTAAATTAGCAGCATGTGTTGTTAATTACAAAACTCCTCTAAAGTTACATAACGTCATTAATTTTGCATCAGCACATTAAAACTCATTAAAACTGGCCCTGATTTCACCCACAGCGCTGCCATACTGAATCAGCTCTGTCTCGTTCACCAACAGGCCAGAAGATCAGCCTGGTAGCAGCAGGCCAGCCGTTCACATATTAACCCTAAAGATGACTTACTCTCTTTATAGTCGGTGAATATTTGAAGTCTAAATGAACTTGAGCAAGGCCCTAAATGTGACTAAAATTGAATTTGCGGTCATTGGCCAGTTGGCTGCAACAAAATGAGCTTTAATAAAGGCTACTGAATTCAGTCAGTGATGCAAATGATTTGTTTAATTAGACTATGTAGCCAGAATTGAGAAATCCAATCATACAACTTGGAATTTCAACTCAGAATTTGGCAAATAATGGATGAATACATCAGGCATGGGATTACAACTGGTTTCAAGGTTTACCGTGATTTGGAAAAGTCAAGGTTTTAAATAACAAAAAAATTCTGTTATACTTCTCCTATTGTATATGTATTTTTTGCTGTTGTTTTTACATTTTATATATATATATATATATATATATATATATATATATATATATATATATATATATATATATATATATATATATATATATATATAACAGTGCAGTGACAGATATCCAAAGTGGCCTTTTTAAGTTGTAAACTTAGAAGATTCGATTAAAAAGAATGGTTCATTTGCAATCAGGATCACTAACACGAAAATAAATTAACCCCTTATAGGACACAAATGTGATAAATTAATAGTTTAAGTGCCTGCTCGGGTCATTTTTAATGTTTTCACCGTGCTGCTGTCATGTAGGAGCAACAGCAAGAAACACCTGGAGGAGAAAAAACAGTAACCAGTTTTACCTCTAAAAGACATACAGTAGGTTTATATATTAAATACATTTACAAAGACGAAAATGAAGGAAGTTTTTGCTATAATTTTAGTTAGTTTCAGTCAGTTTTCTATGTACACAATACAGCTTCATTTTTGTTTTTTCTTTTCAGTTAACAAAAATGTTTTAAATTTTAGTTTTTGTTTTTTTATTTGTTTCCATTAATGTAATAACCTCGATATGGTTTAATGGTTTAATATATATTCACCAAATATCTGACAGACATGTCGCCTATAAAGCAACATACAAGCATGCTGTAGACCTGAACAGTGCAGTGGCTTTAGTTTATATCCAAATAAAAGACGGATATCCAAAGTTGCCTTTTCAAGATGTAAAGAAATCCGTGTTTTTCAAACTAATAAAGATCGCAGAAGTCATTGATTTACTCAAATTATTTAATGAAAAATTGGGTTTAATGGGGGGAAAAAAAGTTTACCCAGTTATTTAAAAAGAACTTATTTTAGAGCACTAATCACTATACCAAGATATTATTATCCAAGGTTATATTACCGTCAGAACTGTATACTGGCCCATGGTTTAAATACATCAAAAGTGCTTAATAAATTGTGATGCTGACTAGTGTGTGTATAATCTGCACACAAAGTTAGGCAGGACAACCCCTCAAAATAAAAGTTTGGTTTAACTGTAACAAACGAATGGCTACTGTATAGCGGAATGCACTTCTTAACATTATAACAATCCTTATTTTTTCAGAATAACTGCACATTTGCATGTTTTAATTTAATCTGGAACAGTTTTTTTTATCAGTTTTTGAAAACTCATAATATATTAATGCTAAATTTAGTTTTCAATTAAATTTGTAACTATTAAGTGTATATTGTAAAATAGCTTTTTGCTGTTTAATTTTATCATTCTTGACTGCAAAACAAATCTACCTTGGTTAAAATAAAGTAACCTAACCCTAAACAGACATACTTTTTCACAGCTAAAGAGTGCAGAAAAAACAAATCCCCAAAGATAAAAAAAACAGAGTTTAGGGGTAATTTATGTAAATATTTGACTTTGGTTGTGAAGTGTAATATTCCCATGTTAAGCCTCTGAAGAAAAAGGAAAGAAAGAAGAAAATAAGGCAAAGAAAAAAGAAAGAATATTAAGAAGAAGGAAAATAAATAAATAAATAAATAAATAAAGAAAGAAAGAAAGAAAGAAAGAAAGAAAGAAAGAAAGAAAGAAAGAAAGAAAGAAAGAGAAGAAAAAGAAAAATAAAAAATGAAAAAGGAGGAAGGAAAGAAAGAAAGAAAAGAAAGACAAAAAGAAGAGAAGGAAAGAAAAGAAAAAAGAAAGGAAGAAACAGGAGGAAAAGAAGGAAGGAACCAGGAAAGAAGGGAATGATGGACTGAAGGAAGGAAGAAAAGAAAAAGAAATTAGAAGAGAAGAAAGAACAAAAGAAGAAAAAGAAGAAATACAAAATTATGAAAGAAAGAAAAGAAAGAGAAAAAATAAAGAAAAAAAAGAAAGAAAGAAAGAAAGAAAGAAGACAAAGAAATAAAGATAAACAAAAAAATGAAGAAAAGAAGGAAAGAAAAAGCAGGAAAGAAAAGGAAAAAAGAAAGGATTGAAGAAAAGACAATCAAAAAGAGGAAAGTAGAAGAAAGAAAGAAAGAAAGAAAGAACAAAAGAAAGAAAGAAAGAAAGAAAGAAAAGAAAGAAAGAAAGAAAGAAAGAAAGAAAGAAAGAAAGAAAGAAAGAAAGAAAGAAAGAAAGAAAGAAAGAAAGAAAGAAAGAAAAAGTATTCAGTCATGGACTTTCACCACAGCACTTCTATGATGTGTTAAGTGCGAGTCTCATGAGGTTTTCCAGCTGCTTTATTCTTTTTACCTGTTTCTTGATTAAATACTCGTCTCCTGCCTCTGCCTTGAGACGCTCAATCTTCTCTTCCTGCTGCTTTGCCTCTTTTATGTACAACACCTCCTCTTTGGCCAAACTGAGAGACAGAGAAAGAGAAAACAGGAGGCGAGTTTTACAAAAAAGAAAAATTCAATACTAATTTGTCCAACCAATGCTGTCAGGAATTTACCGAAATGAAGACAAACAACTAGCTAAATCGCAGATCTCTCAAAACTTTCACACTGCCAAAATCAGGGAATCACAGATGTCTGTACGTTTCACATTACCAATCTTTATTTTTTCATTTTACCTGTGATTTTATAGAACTGAGTTAAACCAGTTGCTTGACTTCTGCAGTAAAGGTTTGCTATCCTCTATTGGACTTGTTGGTGTTGTGTTTGTAATCAGACTCAAATTAAATTATTTAACGGCCTCTACAATGTTCAAACTAGTTATTTAAAATGAGCTGAAACAACACAATTCTTGAGCTTTTATTGTGGCAACGTAATCATTAAATGTTCGGTCTACCTAACTTTGTAAAAGCTAATACACTTACTCTAATCACTTTATTAGGTACACCTGCCCAAATTTCCAATCAGCCAATCACATGTCAGAAACTCAATGCATTTAGACAAGGTCAAGACGATCTGCTGCGACATTCAGATGGTAGGGTCAGAATTTGGCGTCAACACCATGAAAGCATGGATCTATCCGGCCTTGTATCACCAATTCAGGCTGGTGGTGGTGGTGTAATGGTGTGGGGGATATTTTTTTGGCACACTTTGGGCCCATTAGTACCAATTGAGCATCATGTCAACGCCACAGCCTACCTGAGTATTGTTGCTGACTATGTCCATCCCTTTATGACCACAGTGTACCCATCTTCTAATGGCTACTTCCAGCAGAATAACATGCCATGTCTTTTTTTTTTTTACATGACAGCGAGTTTACTGTACTCAAATGGCCTCCACAGTTACCAGAGCTCAATCCAATAGAGCACCTTTGGGATGTGGTGGAATGGGAGATTCGCATCATGGATGTGCAGCCCACAAATCTGCAGCAACTGCGTGATGCTATCACGTCAATATGAAGCAAAATTTCTGAGGAATATTTCTGAGGAGTCCAAGTCAGTATTAGTAAGGTGTACCTAATAAAGTGGCCGGTGAATGTAAGTTAAGTTAATTCCTTCATGTAGTCCCAACACAAAATGATTGTGCGGAATCCAGCATTTTTTTTACAGTGTATAAGGGTTATCGGGTTCTAAGTATCAATTCATTATCTTTATTCCATATTGCCAGATATTACCATATATCGGCACATTCTGAGAATACTTGGGTTACAAAAATCTCAATTCACAATTCCCTACAAACTTACAGTTAAAGTCAAAATTTTCAGCCCTCCTGTAAATGTTTTATTCTTTCAAATATTTGCTGTTTTTATAGAGTTTTTTCAAATCACATTTTTAAACATAATAGTTTTAATAAGTAATTTTTTATTCATTAATAGTATTCAGCTAAGCTTAAAGTATCATTTAAAGACTTAACTAGGTTATAGGTTAACTACAGAAAAAAGGCTGTAATAATATTCACCTTAAAAATAGCTAAAAAAAAAAGAAATAAATAAAGATAAACAGCCAAACTAATAGAAATAAGAATTTATCCAGATGAAAAAATATGATAGAAAATACTGTGAAAACTTTGTTAAACATCGCTGTGGAAATATTTGAAAGAAGTAAAAAAGTAATAATAAATAAATAAAAAAGGAGAGGAAAAAACAGGAAAAAATCATCAAGAGGGCTAATAATTTTGCTTTCAACTGTGCATGGAGAAACTAACAATTATACTAACACAAAGTCAAGAGTTGTTATATTTCTTAGACTCATTTGGGCCAATCAATTAGCAAGTTCATAAAATAAACCTTGTTCCGACATGGTTATCCAATCTATAATATATGTGTGTTTAAATTCCAGCAAAATAAACACACTGCTGATGTGCTTCCAATCACAGGTCAAACCATACACTAAAAAATACTGAGTTCAACACAATCGATTTGTGATAGGAAAACAACAAAAAACAATTAAGTTGTCCCTTCAAAAATTGCATTCTTTCACCTCTTTTTAAACAAGTAGTTTGAACAAACCGCAAACATCATTTGAGTGTAGATTGATTAGTTGTTTGGACTGTGGTAAAATGAAAACATTAAAAAAGATACCCCACAAATTCTCAACCCATAAACACGCCTAAAAATCCTACTGTATCCCACTGTAAACACAGCCTTCCCAATCCTCTCTCCTAATGATTATATTGTCAGTCTGAGGAAAGCTGCATGCTTGTTAGCCACAGCGCTAAACTGCATCAGCCACTTCCTAAACGCTACGCTAATCTGTCTTTAACCACGTCTGTTTCCCTCTCCAATGCATACACACACACACACACACACACACATTCACAAAAGACACTGTACTGCCCCTACTAGGATTAATTGATCATCAATTTAGTCCCTAATTTGGACCAAGTCAGGTGGCAAATGGGCCACTTTTGCTTGATTGTTAGTGAAAACGCGGCGCGAGTACATTGATAAATTTTGATTATTTATCAATTATGGCCAAATGAACTAAACGCAGTGAATAAATTCGCGGCCTGATTGCCGTAATGGAGTTTGAAAATATCACTATTGATAATGATTCTAGCTAATAGCCGCTTTCCGTCTGCGGCCAGCGCGCTTGTCGGGACGACATGGCGTTGCGGAATTCATTTTTCATAAAATCAGCCGTGTATGCGTGTGTGTGTGTGTGTGTGTGTGTGTGAGACAGCGAGGACAAGAGAGAGAGAGAGCAAGAGACACTTCTCCATTAATCAAACATACTGCCAGCCTGGGCCGCATGCCGTAAGATTCGCCTCCGCCTGCGACAATATGTCATATTTTACGTCAATTACGCTGGTTTTAACAGGCTTCAATCACAACGCCCTGCTGCAATTCTCAGCATATGCTCAAGGTAAGGCTTTCTCTGACATGCACGCAAAAATTAGACCACAGAAGAAAAAAAAAAAAAAGCAGAGGGGGAGCGAAGCTGGAAAGATCGGGGTGTAGCATAATTCTAATAAAAGTGAGGGACAGGCTAATGAAAAAGTGTCATGCTGATGTTAATTTGGTGTTTCTGCGGGGTGATGTGGGAGCTGCTTATAGCAGGGGCGGAGCTGAGGAGCTGTAAATGGGGCTGCCAGGGCTGCTTCCTTCAGCTTAATGGAAAAAGCATCTCTCTGGAAAATAGAGAAAAGAATTAGACTCGACACACACATTCTCTCCCCTCTAATACTGTATTTTTGAGGCGGCAGGCCCGCGGCGAGACCCGGTGACAAAAGCAAATTACGTCTGTCATTTTATTAAGTGCATCCGCTGAGCTAGGCCAGAAAACAGCGACTGGAATACATCACCAGAAAGAATACGAAAAAAATAAAGCAATGGAGGAGAAGACGACAGGATTGGCAGAAGCTTCATTTAGGCCATTCGCCATCTACTTGACAAGGCCAGAGAGGGGAAGAAAATTCTGTAAAAACAGCTAATTTCCAGGACGAATGAATAGGTTGACATTAGGGCTGCACAATATATGGTTTCAGCATTGATATCGCCATGTGCGCATCCGCCATAGTCACATCGCAGGAAGTGCAATGTTGAGTTTGTTGTAAAAAAATAACTGAGTGAAATAGAGAGAATCCAGTCCAGGAGACTTGAACAAGCAGAAGAATTTCTTTATTAAGACGTGTTGGTTAATCTGCAGTGAAGTCATACAGCGTCTTCAAGAAGTCCATGTGTCTGCAGGAGCCTATATTAGGTCTGCAGTCTGCGAGTTTTATCACGAGTCTGAATTAAGACAAAGATGTCCTGTCTGTAATGTCTTCTTAGGAAGGGAGATGGCTAAACAAAGCATGCAAATTCAGTATTGGAGTCAGCATGATAACTGGTATTTAGGTGTTTGAAACCTGCACATATACTGACCACCAAAGTTAATCAACAAAAGAGGTTTCTTTGGCCTGAAAGTATCGCCCGAAGACAAAAACAGAGCCGTTAAAAGCCTGCCCGTAGCATTTGCATCACTTTGGCTTGGCCAGTAGTCAGAAAGAACCAAAGCATATTACTTTTCAGTTATATGTAGATTATTGTTCATTTGAAACTAGATTATATAAATTTATATTTCCACAAGTTCATATGTTGGGATTAAAGTTTTCCTGGAGCAACAGTTCATAACCAGAACACTTTTGGATTCACTGAAGAGTTCAACCATAATGAAGTGAATGTTTATCAGTTGCATGCGTTTTTAAGGCCAGTGAGAGTTTAACGTATTCAGGCACAAGCAATTGCACTGTTTGTAACTCTAATAAAGATGCATTTATTGAGGTAATCATACAATAAAGACTATACAGTGTTGTTTTACATTTGATTATTAATACTGCAATGTAAAATATTTTCCTTCTATCTTATTATATTAATCCCCATGCTCCTCCAGAATAATCAAAATTCTTGAATGTCTTATTTATTTTTCTAAATAGAGCTAATCTGGTGAAATTGTCTTCATAAAATCACAGCTAAACAATATATTGCAAAGTGAAATTTTCCCTAAATCATGCAGCTGATATTTTGTCAGATGTTTGGTCTAAATGTTTCAGGCTGAGCAGAGAACTGAGCTGCCAACATTTGACACAAGATCTTTCCTGACCACTTCATAGGGCTTGATTTTCGGAGCCTCTTGAGGATTTTAAAAACTCAGGGATGTAGCACTACAAGAGGGGCTTGACCTGAAGGTGGTAATTAACTGACATTACAAGGACCCACATGTTTTACAGCATGAGGTTTTACAATATGTTGACATGTCATCTTAACACAACTCCTCATGGCATCAACAAATATAGCCAGAAGAACCGACACATTTGACAGTGTTTTTCCGTAAAAATTACAACCATTAAAAATGAAAACATAATACAACCACTCTACAACATGTTGGCAAGCCAATCAAAACACGGCCATTTTTAGATACATTAATATTATTTGAAATTTACTGAGTTTTAACAATAGATCATGCACCTTATATCCAAAGTGACA